CAGTATCTCACTTTAACTAGGCCAGATATTGCCTATGCGGTACAACAGGTGTGTCTTTTTATGCATGATCCCCGGGAATTTCATTATGATGCATTGAAACGCATTTTGCGTTATATTCAGGGTACCATTGATCATGGTTTACATTTATATCCATCTGCTTCTACTCGCTTGATTACCTATACTGACGCTGACTGGGGAGGTTGTCCCGATACCCGTCGTTCTACATCGGGTTATTGCTGTTTTCTTGGGGACAACCTCGTGTCTTGGTCGTCTAAGCGTCAACATACCTTGTCTAAATCTAGTGCAGAGGCATAATATCGAGGCGTCGCTAATGTTGTCTCTGAGGCTTGTTGGCTCCGTAATCTCTTACTTGAGCTACATCGTCCTCTTCGACAGGCTACTATTGTATATTGTGATAATGTCAGCGCTATCTATCTCTCTGACAACCCGGTACAACACCAATGCACCAAACATGTGGAGTTAGATATTCATTTTGTTCGTGAAAAAGTTGCTTTGGGTGAGGTTTGAGTTCTCCATGTTCCTTCTAGATATCAGTTTGCAGACATTTTCACCAAAGGATTACCATGGGAGTTGTTCTTGGAATTTAGATCCAGTCTTAGCGTACGACCTCCTCCCGCTACGACTACGGGGGGGTGATAGATATTATATTTAGGATAATATTTGTCACATATTAGGATATTTATTGTATATATTTTGTGTATATTCGGTATCCTTATCATATGAGGATAACCATACTTTGTTAACCTCTATATATATTTATCAATGGTACACACTCCAATGGGAGGAGTTTTCCCGAAATCCAACAATTTAGTTTTTCTTTTAAATTAATTAATATCTAGTTTAATTTCTTGAATTGTAATACTTTAATTTAATGCTTTAATAAACTTCTCTCTATGGTCCGTTAAATAACTGAATTTAACAAGGTTTTTTTTTAAATTTTTTTTTTTAAATTACTGTATTATTTTTATTTTATTGTAACAAGTAATATATACTCCCTTTGTCCCCCCTTTTTTTTTTTTTTTTTGCCCCATAGTAAATATTTAGGTCAAACTTTGAAAATTTTGACCATAAATTCTTTTGAATGTATAAAAGATAATATAATCATGTGAGGATCTAATTTGATTCGTTTTATTGTATAATTAATCAACATTAAGGGGTTTTTATTTTAATTTGTATTGTACAATTATGATAATGGATATATATGCATTTTAACACATATTAGAGACCCTAAAAAGTTAAATGGGACAAAAATATAAGGACACAAAGTAGTGAATTATACACTACATTAATCATCGCTCGTCATCTCGTATATATGGTTCTCTTGACTTCTTGATGTAGAAATGTACAAAGTGGCTGGGATATACTCTCTCATTTTTTATATACTTGCTCCAATTTTATTTTCTTGCACTATTCATTTATCCTACTTTGACTAATGTTTGTGATTTATACATAAGATAAAATATAGTCTTGTGGGTACTCGTAGGATTTTTCTCAAAAAATAGATTATTAATTTTCAATTGTTAGAATTTATACTTATGGGTAATTAAATAGTAGTGATCTAAGATTAGGATCGACAAACGTGTCCAAGAAAAATGGAGCAAGTATTAAAAACGGAGGGAGTAGCAAATTAAAATCTGGAAGTAAAGCTTTGTAATACTCTGGATTTTTTTTTTAATAAACTTTGTAAGTGAATATAATATAGAACAAGTAATATTTGTTTAAGAAGTTTATCAATGTTTTTTTATAAATATCTTTATGACTTTTATTTATTTTTTATGTTTCGTGTAATAGCTGCCCCATATGTTGAGTTAGTTTAATAATGGAAGCTCGCCTACCAAGTTATGTGTGCATTTCTCTGCTGTTTATTATGACAATAACTGATTGTAAACAATGATGGAGTATCATGATTATTAAAGAGTCTAAGGATATAGGGGATATTGCAAATTTGCAACGATTGGGTTTTGAGAAAATTGAAACCCACCGTTATAATCGTATGTGCTAAGTTGACTCAATGAATGACTTGGAATTTATACCGGCTAATATACGGCCAAAATTTAATAAATACATTAGCGGTTATAAAAATATTGTAGCCACTACAAAAAACATTATCTGAAATAAAATAGGGAATTTCTACATGATGGCCTCCAAGATTTAATTTTTCTACGTGAAATACAAACTTTTTTCCAACTCTCTTTAGTGGCACCCAAGTTTTGAAAAGTGTTGTTTCGATGGAGCACACAAGAGGGGGGGGGGGTGAATTGTGTAGGAACTAGTGTTCCAACATTTTGCGAAAATTAAAAACATTCAATGCTATGGAACAAATAAAAGTGCAAGAGAGATTTTAGCGTGGAAACTTCTTGTGCCCAACAAGAAGAAAAACCACGACCACTTGGGATTTTCTAAATCGACTTCTATATATAGGCAATACTATTACAATCTATAGGAACTCGATAAGAATTTAAGTTCCTTTAGAACCTAAATCTACCCCAAATGCTCTTTGTAGCTTCAACCCCGAAGCTTGAAAACTCAAGACTCAATTTTAAGTCTCTGCAAAAGATAACTCAACCTTTTTCTCAAATTACAACTAAATAATAGATTTAACTTTAATACATAGTAACTCAATAACAATTAGGAACTTGGAAACTTGGAACTTGTGGTACGTATACTAACTTCCATACTTGAAAACAAAATATATTATATGAAAATCTTTTCAACTTAAGTTAGAGTGTTAGACCCATTTGGAATGACTCGCTAAAGCCAGACGTGTTTGAAAAGAATCTCTAAGGTCAGACAATCTGAAAGTGACAACAAAGCCTCTTATTTATAATGTACCCAAGCATACCCACTTCCTCCATATTCTCTACAACTAACAGTTAGTGTTCCTAAACTTTAGGAACAATCAATATCAGTATAGTGGAGAACGTGGGAAGGAAGTATGAACGTGACATATGGTTAAGCATTCGAAAATTGTTTTCTTGGAGAGAAATTTAAAAAGTGCTTAATCAATCCTTGGAAAAAAGAAAACGTTTTGTAAAATAAGGTATCCAAGATATTTATTCTCCAAAACATTTCTTTAATCAATTTAATCACAAGAATAATTTCTAGTAAAATAATTTTCAACTTAAACGTAATAAGAAGACTTATTCCAATCACAAACTTTTACAAGTTCGTTTGAATATTTAGTACTAAAATATCTCAACTGGTTTTCCTTGAAAATAGTCCGTCAAAACAACGTGATTAATAAAAAATATTTTTAGGAAAAGATAGGTTTTGTAAAATAATATCCTTGAGTTTGTCGTTTGTTTGTCATCATCAAAAAGGGGAATATTTTTGACCCTAATGTTTTGATGGACAAACCGACAAACTTTGACTAACGAGGTTTTTAATTCTTTGGTGAGGACAAACTCATTGGCAGCTTACGACATTGCAAGTCTCTAAAACAAAAAGGGTAAGTTACAGGGTAAGTTAATTTTGATATGTTCAGGCTTCCTTTTAACTTTGTTGTTTAGTTTTGTTTCTGTTATTTTTATTATGTATTTAGATTTTGTTTTAACTTTGCATGCACGGATGGTTTTTGTTTACCTAAGTTTGTCGTTTGTTTGTCATCATAAAAAAGGGGGAATATTGTTGACCCTCAAGATGTTTTGATGGACAAAGTGACAAACTTGATTAATAGTGTTTTAAAGTCTTTGGTAAATGAAAGGATTCACGCAATTGAAGTTCCGGAGTAGGAACATTGATGGAAGCTGCAGCAATGAAGCTTCTTACTGAAGAAGACACAAATCCATAACGTTTAGAATCTGTGTAAGTACTAGAGGTTGTGTTAAGCTTAGGGAACTCAATAAGGAACTCAGTGGGGAACGTGGTTAAGCAATAATAACGTCATATTATAATCTGGGATATTGTCTTAAATGATAATCAGATTATTCCTATTATTATGGTATGATAAAATTGGATTTTAGTTTAAAAGGATTATTTAGTAATAAATAATAATATAGTTAAAAGATATTTTCTAAAATAATTTTTTGATGTTATCTTTAACTGGCTAAATAAATTAAATAACTATTTTTATTTATTTATCATTTAAACTAATAAAATATCTTTTGAAGATAACTGTTTTTGAGAAAGCTTAGGAAGTCAGTATTCTACTCTACACCTGCCGCATAACTCTTTCACCTCACATCCTCCAAACTCATTGCCCAAGTTAAGGAACTTCTCTTTAGAAGTACCCTCATGGGAATTTCACTGATTGTTGCTCTAACCATCTTCATGATATACAAGGATCAATCCTCCATGACTTGTTTAATGTGCAGATCAACACACAAGTTAGTTAATAAGCATCATTTGTTTATAATCATCAAAATTATATTATCTCAACAAAAAGGTTATTATGAACTATTAAACCTATATATGTAGCTAGATTATTGAACTTCATAATCTTGAAGTCTTGTGTTTAATTTTTCTTTAGATTAATTTATAGTTTTATTTTATTTAGTTATTTTAAAAGGCTTATCAATGTTTTCTTAGAACTATCTTTGATAGTTAATGCATCCACCCCCAAGTCCCCAACCCCTAAATGGAAAGTGAAAGCTTTTACTTTAACAATCACGTAAAATTTTGACTTTTTCTCCATTGATCATTATGTTTGTTTTTTAGATAATGAGCCAATGTTTTGTGCTAACTTGCGTAATTGGTTTTTTTTTTTTTTTTTTTTTTTGTCTTTTTCTTATTTACATACTTTGTAAGCAAGTCTTTGGAATCCCACCATCAACGAATATCGGGTTATTTCATCACATAATTTTTATTTTAATGACGACATTATAATTCCTCTCTTATTTGGGTTTGGCTATGCTTCTACCATCAACGACTACAAAATTGTGTTGGTAGCCGAGTATTACTCGGAGGACCGGCCTTGGTTAGAAACTCGAAAATATGTTTGGGTTTATTCATTGCGGAAAAATAAATGTAAGAAATTAAAGATGCCACCTTATTTGGAGGTACTAGATATATACTCTTCAGATAATAATGGATGTAAAGCTAGAACTAAAGAGGCTGTTTTATTGAATAATTCAATGTATTGGGTTGTACACCATAAATCCGATCATTGTTATAAAGTTAATAACAATAATAATGATCATTATATCCTCAAATTCGACATGGTTGATGAAGTGTTTGAGAGGATCGCCGAATCGAGGAGTGAAATAGAAAAAAGGTATTTGAAGCAAACACATATTGGGGCAACACAAGAAAATAAACTGTATGTTTGTCAGCTATATGATGAAGCTTCTAATAACCGTCACCAATATGTTGTTGAAATGTGGGTGTTGGATGATGATAAGCGCGATTCATGGAATATCAAGTATAGAATTGAACAAGGAAAACTATGGAACTATGACATGCTAAAAGTTACCGGTGATGGTAAAGTTATAATCTTTGAAAATAGATGCAGAGGTAAGGGAATAATGGGAAATTTGCTTATATTTGATGGACCTATTGGTAAAGGTAAGTACATTCATATTGATTGTAGATACTCTAAACCATATGGTATTAATGGTAATAGAGCCGTCTCTGATAATCGTGTGGTCAATTATATTCCGAGTCTTATTTCTCCTAATTCTATATGATGTAAGTGTTTATTTTAGGGCTCTGTAATAATATTCATTTTTAAGAGTTAGCTTAGAAGAGAAGGGTGTTATTAGAATTTGATGTATTTGATTTTGGGGTCTTTATAAAACAATAAAATTAAATAGTAATTTTTTAGCTCATTGATGAATACCTAATTGATCCAAGTTTTGCATGTTTCCTCGTCATTCCTTCTATATTAAGAGGTTGATAGTGACTAAGGTCATGTTCTTTTGAGCTTCTGGACAGAGAGTAGATTTCAGCAGAGTAACGTAGAGTAGAGCAGATTTCAGCAAGGCAGAGCAGAGTAGATTTTATTATTATTATTATTATTATTATTATTATTGACAAAGTCATACAACCTACAAAATATTAGTGGGAAACCGAGATACAATCTGGGCCCCTACTCCTCTAGCTATAACAAATCCTATCCTAGTAAATATATGAGCAGCAGCACGGGCTCCGATCCAATGTCTTGTGCTGTCGAGAATTTATGAACCCGCTTTAGCAATGCAACAGTCTCCTTCTCTAACTCCCCAAGTGAAGAAAAGGAGTAGGGAATAAAACCGTCTGACAACTAGATTCGTACTTGACCCGCTTTTGATGAGCCGCATCAGCCACAACCCGTTCAGGAACTAAGTCAGATAGTCCAAACCGTGTCAAATGAGAAGACCCTGTCAAGTCAACACTCTACTAGAAATAGGCCGATTTTCGACGGACACGTATTTCCGTCGGAAAATCAGAAATCCCGACGGATTTTTATTCTGTCGGATATTTCCAACGAATTTTAACAATCCGTAGGAAATCTGTCGAAAATCGGTGGCCAGTCGTGGTGTTGGCCGGCGGTGGTGTGGTGTGGTGTGTGGGTGGTGATTGAAAACAAAAAATAAAATAAAGGGAAATGGGAAAAATTAAGTGGAAAACAAAATAAAAGGAGAAATAGTTTACCTTTGGGTGCACTCCACCTTAGACATATGATGGGTATTCATGCCCCCTCTCAGTAATCGTCCTAATTAAAATTCCTTTACTACCCTTAATGATTCCTTTCCTAGTTAAACTAGTATTTTGACTTTCTTTAAAAACTCATTGACTTTAAAATTTCCTTTTATAAAATATTATGTCCCAATATTTCCAAATCACGAAATATAATATTTTCAAGATTATTAAATAATTACAAAAATACTTTTTAAATTAATGAAACACCATAAATAATTCATTTCGAATTATTTAAATACTTTAAGAAAAACTTAAAATACGTATAAGAATATGGGGTATTACAAGTATACATTATATTGCATTAATGATGCATGTTATTCTCAATAAAACTATACAATGTAGATGTTGTATGACTTTTTATTAATGAATTAATTTAGTTAAAAAAAAACTATACAATGTACTTCTATCTTCCAAAACATAAGCTAAATAGAATAATTAGAAAAAAAATTAAACCTTAAATCTGACATCAGATATTGTATTGGCGAAAATTTTTTTAATGATAGATTGACTAGAGGTGATCAAAGTTGGCCCCGCCCGTCGGCCCCTCCCGAAAATTTATTTTTTTTGGGCGGGTTTGGGAATGCGTTTTTATGCATATTTAGTTGATTTTTTTGGCTTGGCCCGAAAAACCTGCCCGGTTCGACCATTTTGGGCGGGTTTGGGCACAAAAATTTTGGCCCGAAGCTTGGCTCGACCCAGCCCAACCCGAGAAATGGGCATAATTTTTTAGCTTCGACCCGACCCGCCCAATGATCACCTCTAAGATTGACATATGTCCAAAATGATCGATGTAAGCATGACCTACTTTAGTAATAATTAATAGATTTTTTGAAGGAATAAAAAAAAGTTAAAAGTTGGTAAAATTATTAAAAAAATATTTAACAAAAAACTAATTCAGTTATTATTATTTCATAAGATTTCAAATCAACACCATGAATAGAATTGTTTTTTTTTTTTTGGCTTTGAACCTTGATGTTGTATTTTTGGCTCCGTTATTTTATGCTCTCCACCATATTTCAATTTTTAAAATTATAGCTTATTCTCCCTTAATTAAAATGTCTCAAAATCTTGTGTAACTATTTTAAGTAAATAGATTACAAAATAAAAAGGAACACAATTGTTATAAAGATAATCTATAAGATTATGAATAGTACATTATTATAGTTGTATTATACAAATATTCCAAAAATAAAAGATTTTTGCTAAAAGGGGAAGGGGGGTTTTGGAGGGAAAAAACAACACCAGAAAGTGACACGTGTTATTTCTAGTGTCTATTTTAGTATTATGTTATTATTGATGATTGGCGTTTTTTTTTATGTTGGCGGATGGGATAGAAATGTTATTATTGTAAGTATAAAAAGTCAATCGCCAACACAATAGTCTTACTAGCTTTTGGCGAAAAAAGTGACATTTTAGCCAGCAAAAAAAAAAGAAAAAAAAAGAAAGAAAGGAAAAGCCATAACCGAACAATGGGCTTGTATGGCAATTGGCTACTAGTTGTTTATCTTGGGCCCTGTTCTTTAGAGCGGCTCTACTTTGCCTGCCCTGCTCAGCTCTGCTGAAATCTGCTCTGCTCTGCTCAACTGACTGCTCTGCCCTTCTCTGCTCTGCTATGCTTAAAACTAATAATTAGTAATAATAATTAAAATTAAAATTTAATAAAAATAAAAATAAAAATAATTATATTTATTAATAATAACTAATATTTATAGATAATTTAATAATTAATATTTAATAATAATAGTAATTAATATATTATAATAATAATAAGAAGAAGAATTAATATATAATATTGATTGATAATAATAACTAATATTTAATGGTAATAATTAATATTTTATATTATTTAACACATTTTCTAATGTTATAAAAATAGTAAAAATATAATAATAATAATAATAATAATAATAATAATAATAATAATAATCAGAGGTTCTCGACGACGCAAGACACTAGGGCTCGTGTTGCAACTTATATCTTCACTACGGTAGGCTTTGCTATAGCTAGAGAAGTGGGGGCCCATATTGTATCTCGGCTTCCCACTAATTTATTGTAGGTTGTATGACTTTGTCTGTTTTTGAGATAATAATAATAATAATAATAATATTTAATGATAATAATGCGATAATAATAATAATACTAATAATAACATTAATAATAATAATAATAATAAAACTAATAATAATTATAGTAGTAGTAGTAGTAGTAGTAGTAGTAGTAGTAGTAGTAGTAGTAGTAGTAGTAGTAGTAATAATAATAATAATAATAATAATAATAATAATAATAATAGTAATAATAATAATAATAATAATATAATAATAATATTAATAACAATAATAATGATAAAAATAATAATATTAAAACTAATAACGATAATAATAATAATAATAATAATAATAATAATAATAATAATAATAATAATAATAATAAAAATAATGATGATGATGATGATGATAAAATTTGCTTCTCTATGCTCTGCCTTGCTATGCTATGCTATACTCTACCTTGCTCTACTGAAATCTACTATGCTCTGTTGAAATCTGCTATGCCCAGAAGCTCAAAAGAACAGGGTCTTGGTTGATTTGACTAGCGGTTTGTATTGCCTTTTTATGTTGGTGGACTATTGGCTATTAAATATATATGTTTGGTAAAATTGGATGTTGGAGTAGAAATATAACATTATTGTAAATATAAAAAGCCAACAGTACAACCAATACAAAAAACTAGTCTTACTGACTTTAGGCGAAAAAACTAGCTTTTTAGGCCAACAAAAAAGCCAAATAATCAAACATATATTTTGATGGTTTACCATATTTAAAAACCAAAAGCCATAGGAAAAATCGATTGCCAAACAAGCCATGTATTTTGGTTGTTTGACCACATCTAAAAACTAAATGCCAATTGACAAACAAGCTCGAGCACTAGTACTCACTGTTTCAACAACATATATACGTAATAATAAAGTTGTACAAATTAATTTTAATAATATATTCACACTAATAGTTTTATAGAAAAGTATGTAGTAATAACAACTCAAGCGAGAAATATAGACTTTCTCTCACTCAATTCATTGTAGAAATTATGTCAAGATAAATGATTTTATAATTCCTAAACCTTTAAAGGTTTTGGTTTCACATATCAACCGATTGCCATACTTATAATCAATTATGGCGTGAGAATGAGATTAAATATTTTTTTTTTTTTTATAATGAATAGACATAAATCATTCATCTATAAGAATTCAAAAAATATATCCAATCTAGTCCATTCTCAATATAATTTCAATTTAAGCAATTATTGTCTAACTTTAAACACGCCCCGAACACATTAGAATTAACATTAAAACCCTTCAATAGTAGATGGGAAACTTATTTCTTTTTTTGACGAGCACAACTTCTTTGCCATCTCACTTCCAGCACCTTCCAATGATTTGATCACACCACCCTCACACACCTTCACCGCGCCAAAACAAACAACCCCCAAATTCCCCTTTTTATTTTCTCTCTCCTCTAAAAAACCAAAAACCCCAATTTTTTAATTAATTTTTCCAAGTAGATAGATAACATAAAATTAAAATAATTAAAAAATTCCCCAAATCAAATCGCCAGATTTCAAATTCTACAACCCCCAAATTCGAAAACCTTAATTTCAATTTCTTCTTCGAATTTGAGGAGAGAGAAAATGGCAGGAATGGAACTTCAGAATACAGTGAAGGAAGCCCTAAATGCTCTTTATCATCACCCAGACGACGCCGTTCGTATGCAAGCTGATCGATGGCTTCAAGAATTTCAGCGTACTCTTGATGCTTGGCAGGTTTTTTGCTTTTCGTTTATTTTACGATCTATTGCAGTTTTTTTAATTTGATTTCTGAATTCAAATTTTGAGCTTTTTTTTATTTTTATTTATTGTGTATTGTAGTTTCGATTGAGTTTAGTTCGATTAGGTTTAATTTATTGATTTTTTTCTGTTGATGGTGTCTGATTAGTGATGAGGGAGCTGCTAACTT